AAAAAAAAAAAAAAAAAAAAATCTGGATTTTGGTTCAGAGCCCCTGGACTCTCCTCGAGAGTTTCCTCTTTCCTTGAAAAAGGAAGCCTGTCTCAGTTTCTGCATCTCTCTGAGTCCTTCTGGAGATTGACGATAGTGAGGTCTCAGTGCTTGGCCCCCCTCTGACTTTGGAGACCTCCCCTCCCGTGGGTCAAACTGGTCCAGTGCACAGGCCCCAGCTCTGGCGACCATCTCGCCCCACTTTGTTCCCAGCGAAGGCCGTTTCTAGGTCAGTTGCGCGGTGCACCCAGGACAGGGCAAGGTGCAGCCAGGACAGTTGCTTGGTGCAGCCAGGACAGGGCAACTCGCTCCGCGATTTTTGGCTCTGGATGCCGCGAGCGAACGCTGTGGTCCTGCAGAGCGCTGTCTCCCTCTTGTGGAGAAAGTGTGGAGGGCAGCGAGGGCTGCACCTGCACCAGCTGAGGCAAGCGGCAGTTCTGGGATCTCAAGGCAAAAGACATTTGTCATCTGAGAGGCTGGACTCAGTTATTATAATTTTAAATTTTTCAATAAAAACCGAGTGGAAATTTGTTTTCTTACTTGTAGAAATATCCTCACAAGAACACCCTTCTTATATTCCAGGGCAAATAGGGTATTCCACGAAGACATAGGGTAGACTGCGGTTCTGATCTGCAGACCTCCATGCCCTGCGCAGGAGCACCAGGGCACGGTCAAAGTCCTTCCCCTACACAAAGCAAGGGTGTTATGTCTACAACCAAACGAGGACCCTCACAGCCCCCAAAATGCACTGTTTTTATTCCAAAGAAAACCACCAGTTCTGAATACAACTTCTACCTAGCTCTATTAGCTGAGTACACGTCTCCCAGGCACAGAAATCTACAAATTCCCGTGAATACTGTGGTGAAAAGCAGGAGCTACCCAGGCGCGATTGATCACACCTGTAATCCTAGCACTTTAGGAGGTTGGGCGCATCACTTGAGCCCAAGAGTTGGAGACCAGCCTGAGAACATGTTGAAACCACCACGAAAAAAGAAAAAAAAAAAAAAGAGAAAGAAAGAAAAGGAGGCTGGGCGTAGTGGCTTACGTCTGTAATCCCAGCACTTTGAGAGGCCGAAGCCGGCAGATCATGAACTCAGGAGAACAAGACCATCTGGCTAATGTGGTGAAACCAGTCTCTATTAAATATACAAAAAATTCGCTGGGTGTGGTGGCATGCGCCTGTAGTCCCAGCTACTGGAAGCTGAGACAGGGGAATCCCTTGTACTTGGCAGGTGGCAGTTGCAGTGAGCCCAGCGAGATAGCGCCACTGCACTCCAGCCTGGGCAAAAATGAGATGCCATCTCAAAAAATGAAAAGAGAAAAAGAAGAGAGAGAGGAGAAGGGGAGGCGCAAGGGGAGGGTAGGAGAGGGGGCGGAGGGAGGGAGAAAAACACAAAAAGTACAAATTAGCCCAGCTGGGTGTGGTGGCGGGTGCTTGTCCTACTCAGGAGGCCTGAGATAGGAAGATTGCCGGAGCCCAGATGTGCCACTGCTCCAGCAGAGGCCATCTAAGACCTACCTTCTGGGGATGGCGGGAAAACACTAAAGTTTTTAAGAACTGTTAAAAGCCCTCGGGGGCTCACGCCTATAATCCCAGCACTTTGGGAGGTCAGTGCATATGCACCCCAGAACTTGAGGTAAAATAAAGAAAAGAAAAGGAAGACAACAACCCAGGGTGATGTGGTTTGTTCCCAGTAATTTGAAATATTTAAAGAATGGTTAAATGATCACTTGGCAGTTATACTCTAAACAGAAATAAGATTCACAGAGTTAAACATCATTACTTTGAGAAGATAAATTTTAATGTCATTTTCAATCTTGAAAATCTTTGGTTTTATTTTGAAAAAAAAATCGTCAATTTTAATAAGATCACTGCAAAACAAAGGTATTATAGTCCATTTGCCTTTTCAAATAATAAACTTGGAAATATGTTCTTATGAATGTCAACAGTCAACAGTCAATGTAGTGTGGCATATTAAGAACTGACTTCCATATAATAGGTAAGTTTAGAGAGATTACATTTCATAAGAAAATGTTTTATGAATTTTAATGGGGTATGTTTATTTAAATCTAATTTTCAATTCTGTTTAGGAAATAGTTGTCTGTTTCTTTTAGTGTATTCTCCTTACTGTCCACATATGTGGAATTACCTATTCTCTTCTCTTTTGAAATAGTTTAAAAGACTCAAAGAGAATGGCCTGGCCTTTGCATGTCCTTAGTCTGATAGACATTTCCCTGGCTGCTCAGATGAATAGATATTACAGCTAACTAAGAAAACTGCATCTCTTGTCAGCCAGAAATTAACAAAGGCTTCAAAATCAGTGAATTCTCTGTTTTTCTGTGGCCTTATGTGCTGACAGTCTTATCTTAAGACAAAAAATTTTAATAGTATAGATTGAAGGTAACTTTGGCAAAAATGAAAATGCAGGCAGGGAATTTTTTTCCAACAACAGAAACTAGGAAAAGCAAAGATACAGTAAAAATTGAAAATTTCCACTGTAGAGATATAAATATAATAATTGACACCGCCAGGGATGATTAATGAATAAAAT